CCACATTGCTCCACCTTGTGGAATAACAGGACCATTACAAGTAATAGGAAGTCATTGTTCATTAAAGAGTGGTATGAAAAAAAAATCATCTTTATAACAGATTTACTTGATGAAAAGGGGCAGTTTCTCCCAGTGGGTGTTTTCAATGCAAAGTTTAACATTCAGTGTTCCCTTAGAGAATATAACAAGGTCTGTAAGGCGATCCCCTTACCTCTGTTAAGTTTGATACAAGGCTATTTATATTACTGTAAGGGACAATTTAGTTTATCTTCTTTACAGGTAAATCAGATTCCTTTAACTAATAAAAAGTGTAATAATAAAATCATAAACAATATATTTAAAAATGAATTATTTCACGATTTTAACAGTAACACAAAATTAAAAGGGAGTAAGGTTAAAATAACGAACAAATATACACACTTTTTAAAATGGCCTATCCCCCCCAAAGTCAAAGAAATGCAATTTAAAATAATTAATGAATATTGTCCAGCAGCTGAAATGCTTAAAAAAGGTTTGGGTTTGAGGTGGAGCCATGTGGATTTTGTTTACAAAATGAAGAAAGTATTGATCATTTGTTTTTTTCCCTGCACAGTAACGACTGACTTCTGGCAGGATTTGGTTGACTGGTTGAGTGTAAGAATAGATGGGATGACCCCACTGACTCTAACACAGGTTTTATACAATAATGGCGATCCGTCTAAGGAACTTGCCATGCTCCACAATATGGTAATAATTATGGGCAAATACCACATTCATAAGTGTAAATGGAAAAACAAAAGACCTTTCCTAAGTGCATTGAAGATTGAATTGAAGTCTTTTTTGTCATCTTTAGAATTACTGAAGGATTCATGTAAAGATGCTGCTTTGATATGTGAAAATGGGACCCAGTTTCTATCCTTTTAATGAATATGTTTCGTTTGGTGTACCAAGTAAGCCGCATGTATGTTAAAGTGTTCACGGAAAGGATATTGTTAAATGTCATAAGAATGGCCTTCACACATATTTATATTGTTTTTTGTTTTTCTGTTAGTCTTCTCCTATTTCTTTTGTTTTCTTACTCAACATTTCAAGATGTTGTTGCACCAATGTTGTCTCCCAATGAGAGATTGTAAATGTGTGCAAAATATAACTAAATTAAACAAAACAAAACAAAACCAAATGACGGCTCACGGAGGGGGGGGCAAGATGGCGGAATAAGCGGTTGTACAATCTGCAGGTCTGATTAGGAAACGTGATTTTTATGTCCTCAAAAGTACCGACAAACAGTTACTCCAAAAGGAAGTCGAAGGCAAGCGAACCCCCCCCCCCAGTTACTTTGAAAGACGATTAGACGGACAAATGACGAGTCAAGTGGCCGCGTGACCC